GTTCTCTAATGAAACACACACCCGAGTAGTTTCAATCGTCATTCATCGAGCTCAACGATGTAGCTCGAAGCGTCGTCATTACCTCAACAAAAAAAACAGCGTGAGCTTGGTTCTTCCATCATCCGCACCTGCCGCCGACAACTTACAGGTATAGAAATGTTGCGCAGAGCCGAACGTCCCGGTGTCCACTTTGTCATGAGCAGATGTCTCAACCAAAAGAGCGAAGCTGCATTTGATGACACAGCCATGCTGACTTGGTAATCATATTACCAATGCATGTCTCATTAGTTTCTGCCATGGCTGAGTGTCCCCGCTTCCTCCTGCTCAAACACACAAAAGCACCCAGACGCACACAAACATCCACTCAATTGCTGGCTGGCATTTGAGAGTGCCTGGGCTTGCATCTAAAGCAGTTTACCGGGGAAATAATAGCCCTCTAAAAGGATTCTCTGTATGCAGAATCATCCAATTCCATTTGAACTCTGGTGAGACAAATTAAATTTTAGCAGAAGGGGAGCCATGTTGTGATGAAGAAAAAAAAGGAATGAGTAGAAACAAAGAAGGAACATATGAAATGGATGGTAATATTTTTCAGGTGCTGCTGTCTCTGAGACAGCTTTTACTCAAGCCATTTACATTTTGCCGCATTATTTATTTTTTTTATAGATGAATTACAAGTTTGAACGTTTTAATAGAAAGTGTATTTGCGGCTGTTCAAACAAAGGTTTTGTGCGAGAGCGTTCGGATTTAATGTGTTGCCTCAGTGGGTTTTTTTTGTGTGTTTTACTTACAATTATAATACAAATGTTTTCCCAAATATTCACAGTCAAGAACGGAAGGTCATTGTAAGTTTACAGGAAACCAGTCATTCTGACTGGTTTTATTTTTCCACATGCTCCAACATGTCTGGGTAGAAAGGATGCTGTCAGTTAGTCTTTAATGCTCTGCCTTTCTTTTCTCACCTTCTTTTAACCCCTTTTCCTGGTAGGATGCTCACAGATGTGTCAAGAGAAAATTTCTGTTTCAGTTTAAAACATTTAAAAGATTTAAAAAGCTAAAACCACAAATCTACTTAAACCTTTGCTGTTTCTTGTGCCAAAATTTAGGTTTAACCATGTTATCTTAAAAGCCACAAAGGAGGAGACGGTTTTCCTTCAGCGTAAGCGCAGGCCCACCTGTCACTCTTGCCCTGTCTGTGAACTCAAACAGTCTCAATATTGATGAGATGTTCATGGCCATCATGATAGCGTCCACCCCTCCCTGTAGTCCCTGTAAATGCAGCATGGGGCACCCCGAGAAAACTTCAAACCTTTCTCGGCGTTCTTGCACAGCGCCCTGTCCTTGTAGCCTGAGTTGCTTTAAAAATTTATACGGCCTTAACTGGAGCTGGTGTCAGCATGTTATCGATTCCCCTCCCCCATCACCACCAGGCAATTTCCACAGCTCTTGGCCTAAATATCAGCTCCGATCCCATCGAATGGCAGGAATTGATCGGCTTTAAGCTCAGGTTTAACTGCGTTGGGACGCGCCGTCCGCCGTGATAACACAAAAATGCAACGAGCACCGTTCCTCCATTGAGTAGGATTCAGGTCAGGGTGAGGTCCTGGTGATTGTTCCAAAACAAACTTGTAGTAAAACGGTCACCTGATCATCCTCAGAAAGCATTTAGTAGGAAAAAAAACTGCTGATTGTGTGACACTGAAGGTGGCTTTGACTAAAGTAATCGTTTGTTGTTGTTTAGGGGATTTAGCGTCGCAGAGAGAAAGCAATTTTAAAACGGATGAGGGCGTAATCCCTGACAATACAGGGATTATCTCTTTAAATGACCTTTATCTCGCCATGAGGCATTGAGTGCTTTTCGGCTCCTTTATCCAAAGTCTGGGTTGATTACGACAAGAATATTTATTTAGAGTCATACAGTTGTATGGGATCTTTAATCCAAAACAAAAACCTTTAAGAGGCTGAACGGCTGTTCGTAAAGAAAACCATCCAGGGAACTCATTCCATTTGGTAACGTCTGATTTTAAGACAATTATGAAGCTGTACATTTAACTATTTAGCATTTGATGTGTTTTATATAAGGCATCATCACTTTTTATGGTTTGCTTTGGAAATGTGTAGAAAACAAATGTTGCAAATGAGGAAGAAAACCTCTGAACACGTAAAATAACTCTGGAATTAAAGGAAGTTACTATTATAAAGAAACAAAGTATAAATGCACAACTTTTTACTTCAAATATAAATATAAACATTATTTTAATATTGTTCTTTTTAATCTTCATCCAATTTCCCAAGCGTGTTGTCTTGCAGGAGTTTGTCCGTTCTCTCCGTGCATGCATGCGTTTTGTCCAGGTTCTCAAATATCCTCCCACAGACCAAAAACATGCATGTTAGGCTGATTGGTAACTCTGAATTGTCTCTAGGTGTGAGTGAGAGAGTGAATGGTTGTCTCATTTGTCTTAATGTGTCCCTGTGATGGACTTGCCACCTGTCCAGTACCCCGCCTCTTGCACAGTGATAGCTGGATATGAGCACCAGTGACCCCCGCGGCTCAAAAAGTAAGACGTGGGTAAAGATAATAAATGGATGGATGTCTTGCACTAAGTTAGGTGGCTACAAAGTTGTAGACAAACCCTGTAGCAGATCCATGAGCTTATCAGACTCAAGGTTTAGAGCTTGTGTTTGGACTTTGGAGCCAATTCCATCTTTTTCTTTTTATTTGCCTCATCCTTTCTAATTTTATTCTCTTTGTTCTGCTTCCTGTTCTTGTATTTTAGTTTTTGGAGCTTCTTTTTGTGTTGCAAGCCAAAACACAGTCATGTGAAAATGTTCCTGAATGTGAGGCAGGGACAGATGTTTCCTTTCAGACCAAAGGAAACTCGAGCTCTCAGATTTGTCTGGCTGCCATGTTAACTTCTGCCTCATCAAAGGTGAAAGAACTCCCCTCCCACATTTTGACAAGGAGAACAAATACAGCTCCGGTTATAATAAGTGGAGTTATGGGACCTCTGTGCAGTCCTAAGAAAAAGATTACCTACAAAATGCTTTAAAGCCAAACCTTCCTCCATATGGTCTCCACTGTTTTATTGTTTAAATGAACTTTTTTTCTTCTTCAATATTTTTTTTTGCAATTTGAATAAATATTTTGGGTAAAAGCAAATGTAATGACTTGGTTGAACTATGCCTGGTGTGGATTTCTTCACCTTTAAATTGATCCTTGATGTTTGAAGGAGCCATCTTTTATATCATGAACATTATAAAACAAGCTCTTTGTTGCAGATGTTTTCTTGTTTTATATTATATCTGTTCAAACAAGTCATAAATGGGTCTCATTCTGATTTATTCAAATTCTTGACATGGTTTAAGTGCATGAATTATGCATGCGAACGTTCACTCGTTTTTGGAGAGACAAAGAAAAATGTTCAAGATATTCTATACATTTGATTAGTGATAAGGATTCATTTGGGGAAAGTTTGTGACCAGAATTTGCTGTACTTTTGAAATAGCTGAGCATGAATATAAATGGTTTTCTTCACACCTTGAGGAAGCAGACCTGAACTTAAACGTTATAATTGGATCTTTTCTACATTAGTGAACAGAAAGCAGTCAGTCGAAAAAAAAATAAAAAAAAATAAAAATAAATAAAACGCCTGGGGGAAATGGCAACTTTTGAATTATCCTGTAATAACATTCAATGTAAAGGTATTGTATTTAAACAATCCTAAACACCAAAGGTAGGGGTATGATAGTATGATAGATTGCAGTACTTTCACTTCAGAGCTAATGAGACCATAAAGTAAAAGCTCTATTCATCAACTAACTTTGACAATTTCCAGGAATTTTCAATTTGAACAAACTCCAGGAGCTCACGTTCCAAAGATAATCTCAGCAAACTGTGATTTGTTGACCAGAGAAAGTGATCTACAATCAGACACGCAGGAGAAATTAAAATGTTATTTATTTAATAGATAAAATTGCTCTTACATTGTTTTTTTTCTTAGAAAAGCAATTTATTTTTTGAAATATGTTTAATATATTGATATAAAAAGTTGTCATAATAAAAAAAAATGCACATCATCAATATTTACACTTTTGCATTAATAACATCATGTTTCCAAAGTACAAGAGGGATATACACTCACCAACCACTTCACTATCTTATTAGTACCAGGATGTACCGCCGCAAACACAAACACACTTTGTCCTCAGAACTGCATTAACTATTTGTTGCATAGATTCAGAATTTTGGAAACACTTCTCAGGGATTGTGATCCATGTCAGCATCATTGCATCGCAATGTGATTTTCCTCTTCCACCATATCCTAAAGGTGCCTGATGGGACTGAGAGCTGGTGTCTGTGAAGCCCACTAGAGTTCAATGAATTGAGACTCATCAGAGCAGCAATGTTTTCCCCAATTTAATATGTTCCAATTCTGGTGAATCTGTGTGAACTGTGGCTTTGATATCCATTTAGTGTTGACCTTTGACATTACGACAGCTTTTTTTATATGCACACCTGCCACTAACTGGATTTTTTTGGGACCATTTTCTTTTAATCCTAGAGATGGTATGCACACAAAAAAAATAAAAAAATAAATAAAAGATCAGCAGTTTCTGAAAGACAAGTTCATCTGGCGCCAACAACCAAACCATGTTTAGTTGCCTAAACCCACTTTCTTCCCCCCTCTGAGGCCTGGTTGCCAGGTTGTCTTCACAACGTCTTCATGCCTAAAGGTATTGAATTTCTGCCATGTGATTGGATGATTAGATATTTGTGATCAACAAGTGTCCCTAATAAAGTGGGCAGTAATTGTTTATACAACCAGAGAACATTTGTGATGGGCTTCAGGAAAATATCTTATTGTAATTGTGTGAGTGTATTTGTTTGATTTGGCCTGTTTATTATTAATGTATGTACTGTAGAAAACATTTTTATTTACTGTAAAACATGATATGTGGTTATCAGTGCATTGTTTATTAAATATAGAAAATCTTTTGCTTTTGTTTTTTTTATAATGTCATTGACCATGGCGTTTGATTTAGGCAGATATTTTAACACAAATCATTAAACTTTACAGTATGTACAAAGACTTAGGATTTTTATCTTTCTTTTACAAAACCATGAGCAAAACTTCTGCCACCTGCAAGACCTTTCTAAAACCTGAGTTGTATTTATTCTATCGTATTTGGCTATTCATACTATATCCATGGTCATGGCAGCAGACTTTACATTGTACTGTAACAGGATTTAAAGAGTGTGGTCTGGATTTAGGCAGAGATGGGACTGGGTCCATTGGGCTCGCCGATAGAGCCCCTGTACTTGGGTCCAGAGTATTCGCCGATGAACGAGCCATCCTCATTGAACTCTTCCTCTCCATCTGCATAGCCGACCAAGCTGTCTCTGCTGACGCTGTCTCCTACAGGATCATCTCTGGAACACAAGCTAGTTCCCTTCAGTGGCTTCTCATCGTTGTCACTGCCATCAAGAAGAGCAGAAGGACGGTCAGTGGTGCACAACACAAGCAAAAACATCATTCGGCAGGCGGAAAACTGAAAAAAGTGCACGTGTTTGACATTAAATCTCAAACACATGTGTGTATGTTTTACATATAATCAAAAACTAATCACACAAACACCAACACGCTTAGCATATGTAGCGCTGATAGATTATTAGATGCCTAGATACATCATTCCACGAACGAACAACTGGTCATGGTTTAGTTATCACTACAGACAAAAGGCAGGCGTAGATACAGCAACTGCACAGCAGGAAGGAGAACACAGGCGGATGCAGGGAGTGGGGTGGTGGTGGTGGGGGGTCTTTCTACAATCACTTCACTAATTGCTAATTGCCGAGGCTCTGGGACCAAAGGCAATTTCAAATCTCTTTAGATTCAGCTATAAAAATTACCAGAGTACAGTAAGAAAGACTGAATGCAAGGCTTGTGTTTATGGGGAGGACGGGCTGGGGAAGAAGGCTAAGATTGGGAAAAGGATGATGGGAAGAAGACGTGATCCGTGTGCAATCCCAGACAAACAGCCTGTCATTCTGGATATTCCCAGGGCCTCACACACGAGCCAGCAATTTTAGATGCCAATTTAATGCTGGGCAAGTGGCCAAGCTGCAGGTGTCTCACTATAAGATGAGGGGTCACCTCAGAGAACTGATATTTGTCCTCCTTTACCCGTTTTTTTGTGTATTCTTTAAACCATCCATTTTAGTAATACTTCTTGTCCTCTATGGTTTTGTATTCATAACACAAACCATCAGCGCTCACAATACAAACTCAGGTGGCTCACATGTGATAGCGCCACTCGAGGCACACTGCAGTTGACATGTGTCAAAAGCAAGCGCGGTATTGCAAGCAGGATTTAAGCGCAGAGCCTTCGTGAAAAGAAAGATTACAAATTGGGTCTCCTTCACGGGGACTTTTAATAACCAATCTTATCTGTCCCACTTTGTGAAGCCATTTATGATGCAAGCCACATAAGGTCCACATTTCAGTCTTTTTTTTTCCCCCGGTCTTTTTCTTATCAAGCCTACTTTTCTCTGACGACTCTAGAGCGCTGAAGATAAGTGGCTGTTATCTAAAAGCAGTGAAATGCCACAGCCGCTGCAGCCCGCCCACAGCGACTTTGAATACAGTGACAAAATGGGGCTGAGAGCTGTTGAGCCCCAGCTCACTCAAGACCTTGGTTCGTATCAAACTCCAATCTCAGCTATTTCAATGCAAAACTGTTCCTTTGGTTTCACAAACAGGTAAAAGGGAGGAGATAGATGCACATCACCAGACAGAAAGGGATCACATTTGTCTTGCCCTTGTCTCAAGTTGACTTGGTTTGTGTGCAGCGAAGAAACTTCTGGTGGGAGCTGTCTTCTCTGTCCCGCTTAACGTTGAAGTTCTATTAATTATTGTTTTAAATGTTAAAAGAAAACCATCCATCCATTATCTTTACCCACATCTTCCTTTTCAGGTCGTGGGGCTCACTGGTGTCTATATCCAGCCATATGCTGGAGAAGATTCTTAGTCATCCAGGACATGATGAATTCAAAAAGCGTTCAATACAAAAACAACTGGACTTTATTTGTAAAGGAGCAAAACGTCTTCTGTTACAAATAAAGTCCAGTTGTTTTTGTATTGAACGCTTTTTGAATATATCCAGCCATCACTATGCAAGAGGCAGGGACACCCTGGACAGGTCTTGAGTCCATCACAGGGACAGAGACAAACAACCATTCACTCTCTCACTCACATAGGGACAATTTAGAGTTATCAATCAGCATAACATGCATATTTTTAGTCTGTGAGAGGAAACCGGAGTACCCAGAGAAAACCCACACATGCGCGGAGAGAATATGCAAACTCCACGCAGAAAAGTACTGGGCTGGGATTTGAACCAGAAACCTTCTTGCTGAAAGGCAACAGCTCTACGAACTGCACCACCGTGCCGCCCTAAAAGAAAACCTTTCTTCAAAAAGCAATAATTTCAGAAGATGACAGTGTCGAGAAGGGAAAACCACACCTAACAACAACAATTACACTAGTTGAGGAAAATAAAAAAGCTCCACGCTGTCAGCTAACAACCTGGTACAGCCATGACACCTGCTGTTCCTGCAGTGGACAGGAGGGCAATGCTGTAGATGGCTCGTTCCAAAGAGAAATCATCAGAAGCATAACTACAACTTGTCAGCTCCCCCGACACATGGCATACCAGTGGGTGGTCTATTGCCTTTGGAGATTCAAAGGGCACAAGAGAGCCCTGAATCTTGCTCTGAAGCCAGCAAAACAACATCACAGTAAGGCTAAGGGCACTCTGGGGGGACAGCACTGCAAACAGCCTCATGAAACCAACCATGAGAAGCATTCTAAGCAGTTAGCTGGAGTCAAAGAAAACTACAAACACCAAGCCTCCCCCTGCGTGCTGAGCTCTTAACTGCTCTTGCTATGAAAGCTAAACCCAAACATCAGCATCAGTATTTACTTCTTTCCAACAGTTCCTCTTACCATTTCTATAAAACAAAACCATGAAATATTACATACATGTTTTACATCAATATGGTTCATTCACACAATTCCCTGTTTAGTAGAATGCCAATCTTGTTCGAAGCCACAGGAATGAAACTGGCAGCAGCTACACAATTGTGAGTAATCATGTTCTGAATAATGTGATGAAAAGCTGAATCAAAGCAGACAGAAGATGTTATTTTGGGGGATATTTGGTCCAACAAACAAGCCATTGTCACACTGTTGCTGCTGTGCTGTCAAACAAAATAAGATTCAATTCACCTTAGCAGTCAGCTAAACAATGCAAACAATTGAAATTCATCAGTTATTTTAGATCACAATATTTGTCTACTTGAGGTTCAAAGGCTTAGTTTTTATTTACTGATTTTTCACAATTTATGTTTGATTCATGGAATGTGAGCTATTGTTCACATTTAAAATCTGCACATCTGAAGTTGTAGTTTCCTTTGTTGTGTTGTCTGTATAAAATCTTTCAAATGTTGATATGCTAATGAATCAAAATGCTCAAAATGAGAGCGTAATGTAAAATAATCCATTAATCTATCAAATCCATCGTTTTCAGGGTTGGCTGAAATGACAATTGCATAGATTTTAAAGACAACGTCAACAATAAAAGAAAAGCTTTTTAAAAATTCTAATACAGTAGTCCCTCGCTACTCCGCGGTTTGTTTTTTTGCTGACTCGCTCTATTGCGGTTTTTCAAAGTAAGACTGGACATGACACACAATTGGCTGAGTGATAGATGAGCTGCACTGACAGCATAGAATTTTAATTTAAAATGAATTATTTTAAATTATTTAGCACCTCCTGCACCTGTGTGTAGCCCACACTGCAGGACAAACTTCCTCCTGCAACTGATCAGCTGATCTCCATGCAGAGTGGAGAAGTGGGCGTGGTCGAGAGCGCTTGCTTGTGACTGAGAGCAGCAGAGGGAGAGAGCTGAAATCATGACATTCTCTGCTCTTTTAGAGCCTTTAGAGTTTAGAAACATTGTTTAGAATAATGCAAGAGTGTGGGAAAGGTTTAAAATGCCTTTATATATATATATATATATATATATATATATATATATATATATATTACTAAAATAGACTGCTACTTACTATTTGTACTACTACTATTATGACTATTATCCCTACTTTGCAGTATTTCACTTATC